ATGGATATGTATTTTGGGGTTTTTTTGTGCTTTCTGATTGTCTCCAAGTAGATATGATCAGGAAATGGACTTCCCATTTCACTCTTCTTCTTGGGAAGTTTCAAGATGCCACTATTGGTCACTTTGACGTAACTTAGGATTTAATTTTTTGGCCTATTTCCTTTTTTGTCTGCTTGTCCTGCTCCACAATCACTGTTCAAGCCTGTTTTCTAGTTATAGGCAGTTCAGGGCCGGCTGTGGCCATTTGGTTTTAACTGGAAACTTTCTGTTTAAATTTCGAGGATATCTGTACACATGCGTAGTAGAACCCTCCGAAGGTGGGGCTGAGGTGTCCACTAGCTCAGGCACCCCTATAGTCACCAGAATGGAGGTGCACAGACAGCAAGGGACCAATAAAAAGATACTAAAATAAAAGAATGTCCACACCTTTATCTCCATGGTTCTGCCAGGTGTCTGTGACTGCTGTGATCTTCCCCCGCTTGGTCTCACCCAAGATGGTGGCTCCTAGAGCAGCTGAGTGTCACAAACCAGAAAGCAATGGGTTTCTTGCTTCTGCCATAAATTCCCCCATCTGTAAGTCTTCCAACCTTCTAAATATTCCTTTATATGTGATTCAGAGTTCTGGGACCATCCCCTGAGCCTGCTTGGTTGGGTATTCTGTGTTGTTTCTGGCGGAGCTCCTTACTGCACTTTCACCCGATCCACCATTTTGTTTGTTCTCTGTAGTTTAATTTCTTGACTGCTGCTTCCATGAGTGTTGATAGTGGATCCTAGCAAAATAGTCTTTGACAACTTCACTCTTTTCTCCATGTATGTGGATGTTGTTTATTTATTGGTCCAGTGGTGAGGATTTTGGTTTTCTTTACATTGAGATGCAACCCTTACTGAATGCTGTGGTCTTTGATCTTCATCAGTAAGTATTTTAAGTCCACTTTGCTTTTAGCAAGTAAGGTTGTATTATCTGCATATTGTAGATTGTTAATGAGTCTTCCTCTAATACTAATGGCACACTATTCTTCATATAATCCAGCTTCTCAGATATTTGCTCAGCATACAAATTGAGAAAGTATGGTAAAAGAATACAACCCTGGTACACACTTTACCTGATTCTAAACCATTCCATGTTCCCTTGTTCTGTGTCCTAAGAGGATAAATAAAGTATTCAAATAATGGAGGAGGAGCCCCTTTCCTAAGAAGCATCTCTTATGTGTCTGATATAGGCATTTGTCTTTAATTCTTACAGCAAGTTTTTGAAGTATATATTGTTCCATTTTATAGATATATAAATTAAAGATCAAAAATAATAATTTGCTCAAGATTCTATGTTGTTGTTGTTAAGTGCCACTTAGTCAGTTCCAACTCAATGCAACCCTGTATAGGATTCCCACGGAGGTACCAACCGTTTCTTTATCAATACAAAGTTTATCCTACAGCCCACACAAGGATTATGTAACTAGTTATATAAACCCCAAATTTAGAACTATCTAGTTTGAACCTAAAAACGAAGATTCTATAAAATTCTGACTGTGAAGGACCAGATACTGTTTCATTTCAACAAAAAGATATTTCTTTATTATATAGTTAGTTAGTGTCCTGATCAAATCACTTAGAATTATAGACAATTTCATAGTAGAGGAACATTATCTGTCATCTAGAATTCTCTGCAGTTCTGAGAGAATATCTGAATTCTAAGAGAGACTCTGATAAAAGTGAGTGAAATAAGATCAATAAAGACAACACCTGTAACTTCCTGTTTTGAAGAGTAGCTATAACCCTGGCGTATGAACACTAAAAAATTCCTACAGGCCTATGTAATATTTTTAACTCAATATTTCCAAACTTTAATTGACCATGCAACCTTTTTTAGCAAATAGCTCCTATTAACTTACCATATACACAATGTAGAAATAGCTGAGCTTATTCCATTTTTCCCCCTATGCTTTTGTTGTTGTTAAGTGCTGTCAAGTTAGTTTCAACTCATAGTAACTCAGTACAGGGTTTTTGAAGAGTGGCTGGCAGGTTTGAATTGCCAACCTTGCAGTTAATAGTCCAGTGCTTATACTACAGGGCCACACTGTTGTTAAATGACGTCAAGTCAGTTCTGAGCCATAGTGACCCCATATAGATAATGTTTCCAAGGACTGACATGTAAGTTTGAACTCCCGACCTCGTGGTTCAAACTGACTTGTGCTTATCCTACAGCACCACATCAGAACTTCTACAATGTCACACTAGGACTCCTGATTTTGCATATGGAGGAGAGAAATTATTTTGTCAAAGCCAGTTGTAAGCCTAAGATCTTTATGTTTTTACATACCATACGTAACTATAGAAGTTATGGTTACTTTGAAGAAGATAGAAAGGATGGTAACCGAAACAGAGCAGATGGAGGGGCTTATGCGGTGATTGATAAAGTTGTACTGCCAGTGGTAGTTAAAAGAATGCAATTAAAAATCTGATGCGCAATTTAAAAAATAGTCTATAATCACATATGCACTTCTTTATCAACTCTGTAACACAGAATAATGTTTAAAAGTATTCTTTTGTTCAGAGGAGATGAGAAATTAGGAGATCCAACATCTGAACTGGCCACTCTGAACAAAGAAGGGTCAGACTCCTTTCTTAGCTCCTAGTTATTATAGTAATTATTTCATAAAATGAAAAGTTTCCATTGCTCCATTGTATCAAGTTCACTCTAGCACATTTCCTTTGGCTTAGTCACAGCCTTTTTAAACATGTGTTTCTTGTATTTTACAGACATACTTGGCAAGTTCAAGACAAAATCGATGCAAACAATGTGGCTTATACAACTGGGAAGCTAAGCTTTCACACTGATTATCCAGCCCTTCATCACCCACCTGGGGTAAGGTGAGCTTCAGCACAGTTTCCACAAGGCAAGCCAAAGGCCAATATTTCCGTACACTTAAATTCTGAGTGTAGAAGACTGTATGTTCCACTAGCTAATGCATCTTATAAGGATCTTCTTTCTCTGCATAATCCAAATTCACAAAATCTCTTTACCTAAATCCTTAATATCCTCACATTCCAAAGGCATGAAAGATCTTATTTTGGTTTAGCCAAGAGAAATCTTACAACAGCAGTATGTATACCTTGGGGTCTTTTTGAACATATACCACTTCCAAGACAGATGAAGAAAAAATAAAATCCAGAAATACAATGTAGGACTTTCTTCCCAAATTGCATAGCCATAATTTGTACAAATTGTTGTTGTAACATACACCTACTTAATGACTTAAAGATACAACAGAACAGCATTTTATTAGCTCAAGTTTTCATAGTTTAGGCTAAATTCAGCTGGGAAGTTCTTCTAGAGTATGCTGAATAAGGTTGGATTGGTTGAGCTACGTTGACTTCAACTGAGATGGCTTGCTTCTCACAAGTCTGCCATCACACACGATTCTGTCATCCTCCAGCAGGCTAGCTTAGGCTTTATGCACAAGGCAGCTTGTAGAGTTTACAGTGAGCCAGCCAATATATACAAGATCTCAGAAGAGCTAGGCTAGGAATCAATCCAATGTCACTTCTGCAATGCTTAGTGGTCAAAGCAAGTCACAAGTCTAGCTCAGATTCAATAGATGGGACAACAGACTCCATCTCTTATAGGAAGAGCAATGAAGATACCTATGCAAAGGAGTATGCACATACACAGAAGAGAATAACCCATGTGCCACCCCATCTATTAGATTTCTTCTCAAGAAGGGAGATGCTTAGTCTATCACCACAAATTGTGATGAAAAAAATTCTCCAGGAGAATCCCACTACAGTTTTACAAAATATCCATTTCTTTAAACCAGTGGCATTTTTCAAAATCATCATTTTATTAAGCCAAAAAATAAATGGTCAGGGCATTTAAATTTTAAAAGACACTTTGTCCCTATTTTTAGAGCTAAACTGTCTAAATAAAGTAACCACACAGGAATCTATGTCTTCAAAAATCATGGAGATGGAAAATCTGAGCAGTCCTCTAGTTAATGAAGAACTGGGCCAAAGTCAAAAGTTAGATTTTTTTGTTTGTTTTTTTTTTTATCATGTTGACTGATATTTTCTTGCCAATAAGTTTTCTCTGTGCCCCTTTTGTTACCCATTGTCCTTGCCAATGTTAGCTAACCTCGTCTAGTATTTGACTTCACATGTTTTAAATCATTTTGTTTATTTTTAAACACCATATGATTTCTTTGAACTCATATGTTGATGGCAGTGAAATGATCCCTAAAGTCAACTTTTGGGGTGGGAACTGAATAAGATAAAGACTGGTTGACCTAGATTGACCACAGGATCAACAGCCAAACTAACCATATCAGCTCCTTTCTAAAGACAGATTGGAGAAGTGAAATGGAATAAAGTTTAAAGAATAATACTAGAAAATATTGTTGTTTTTTAGTACCACTAAGTCTGTTTTTGACTCACAGAGACTCTGTGTAGGATTGCTGAGGAGCAACTAGTGGGTTTGAATTGCTGACCTTGTGGTTCACAGTCCAAACCTAGTGCTTATTATCCTACAGCATGACACCAAGACTAGAAAATAGAATGATGTATAACATCTTTCTAAAAATCAAATCAATACTTAACTATCCTATTAATTTCTCCTTCCCAAATCTCTTGGGTTTATCCATTTCCATAGCCACCACACCACTTTATTCCCTCTTATCCTTACAACTGAATAATAGTCCATTAGGCTCTCAAGTGGAGTCTTAGTGTGGTGCTGTGGGATAAAGCACTGAACTGCAAGGTTGGCTTGAACCACAAGCTTGGTGGTTCAAACTCACCATTCACTTCTTGGGAACCCTAAAGAGGGCTGCTATGAATTGGAACCAACTCAATGGCACTTAACAATAGGTTTTCAAATACGTTCTCACCAGTTCTCCCACAAATAAAGAAATCCACTTTATATAACAAAATTAAGCTAATGTCTTAATTCTTTGACTACATTCAAAAGTTTAATTCTTTGACTACGTTCAAAAGCCTTCAATTATTTCCCTCTGTATACAATGATGTTCAAGAACCTCAATGATGAGGCTCTAAACTCCTTTTCCAAGCTGATCCACAATTCCCATTTGTGATCCTCTGCTGCAATCAACTTGTTGATCCCAATGGCTTCATCATCACTGTCCCCTGATGTGCTTTTCCATTTTATTCTACATATCCCAAAATGTATTCATCCTTCTTTTGCTCCACTGAAATCTCACTTTAAAGCCTTCCTGAACTACTCCAGCATGAAATGCATTACTTCCTACAGCTCTTATATGTGTGCCTTTTGCTTACTAAGGAACATTATCATATTCATAATTGCGTCTTCAACTACATTTGGACTATGTAGAGTTGAGTATTGATTTCTTGTTGTTAAGTGCAGACAAGTCAGTTCCAACTCATAGCAACCCTGTGTAGGGTTTCCAAGGAGCAGCTGGTGAGTTTGATTCACCTACCTTGCAGTTCAAGCTGACCTTGCAATCCAGTGCATTATTCTACAGCACCACACCAGGACTATAAACCCCTTTTTCTTCCCAACCCATTTCTCTGCTGATACAAAAGAAACAGATTTCTAAAAGGTTTGTTGGTGTTTAATAAATTCATGTCTTTTAAAATCTTTCTTTAATGTAATGTCAATAAAACTAAGTGCATATAATTTTTTTTTCAAGTTAATGTATTTTTTTTTAAGTTTTTATTGTGATTTCAGTGATAGTTTACATGGGAGAACATCAGTTTTAAACTCATCCTATTGTATTTTATTTCATTGCAATGATTACAATCCCCTCCATTGTCATTCAACAGTATTTGCTTTTATTCCCTCTGGTTTGCTGTTGTTGTTGTTGTTGTTTGAATGTATATGAAAACATTCAGGAATATATAAGCATTTAAACAACCAACCAAAGAGCACATCTGTAAGCCAGCCTCCTGGCTGCCAGCACACAGCCTTTCTCTTTCCATGAGTCTACAGTCTTTAACTGCTCTATCTCTCGATGTCATCATTTATGCCTCCATCTCTGGTGTTGCTGCTTCTCTGGATAGGGTCCCACATTCCGCTCATGGTATTCTGCCTTGATGGTCCTAGAGTCCTCTGTTCCTGGACTGTAAGATTCACTACTCCCCCATTTTTGTTATAAAACTTCTACCTTTACAGTTATGACAATCACAATTAGACATGAAAACAACTACTCACTTTTGAATCATAAGAATCCTATCCCCATTTCCTTTCACCAGACCCATCTAGACAAGATGAAAATTATTCAATGGGGGTTCTACCTTCTCCCACACACTCTGAAACTAAACTCCCTCTTGAAAACTTGTAAGCCAGTCACTTTGAGCCTTTATTGCCCCCCTGCTCCATTTTAGGAGTCCTGTTGTGGCACTGTGGGTTAATGCACCAGACTGCAAAATCGTTTGAACTGCAAGGTCGGCAGTTCAAGCTCACCAGCTGCTCCTTGGAAACCCTATATAGGGTTGCTATGGGTCAGAATCAACTTGACGGCACTTAACAACAATTTTAGGTAGCCAATGTCTAAGTTGCCCATCCCTATCAACTCTGTGCACAGGGGGGTAGGATTGATCTTTGATGTGAAGATTTCTTCCCTCTCAGTTGGTATTTTGAGCTACTACATCCAAAAGTAATGCAAGGTCGGTGGTTCAAGTTCACTAGCTGCTCCTCGGAAACCCTATACAGGGTCTCTATGGGTCGGAACCAACTCGATAGCACTTAACAACAACAACAACAACATCCAAAAGTACAGGTCAAGTTCTCAAATTGTAGTAATTTACACTTGTTTCCTTTATCAAAAATTTTTATCTTCCTCTAGTCAAGTTCTGATCATCAAGCCATTGAAGCTAGATCAAATGGGTACTGTCTGCAAGTTTAGGTATTCTTGTGCATCTCCTCTTACTTCATATCAGCTGGATGCTTCACTCTCAGTTCTAGCCCTCTGTGGCTATGTACTTGTCCATGGGAAGTGCATATCATTTGTAAACATTTTTCTCCATTTCTTTTACAGGTACAGCTTCTGCACTGCATAAAGCAAACAGTTACTGGAGGTGATTCAATCATTGTAGATGGGTTCAATGTCTGCCGAAAGCTAAAGGAAAAAAATCCTCGGGCATTCCAAATTTTGTCCTCCACTTTTGTGGACTTTACAGACATTGGTGTGGATTATTGTGATTTCTCTGTACAATCCAAGCACAAGATTATAGAGTAAGTGTTACTTATAAATGTATCATAGCAATAAAAAGGTTGAGCAAGGAAAAACTCCATTGACCTAAGCTTATACAGCAGAGAGTCTTGATTGGCCAAAAATATTATATTTTATTATCTCTTTAAAACAGTTTAAGAAAGAAAGATGGAAAGAAAATAACTTTTTCACCATAAAACAATTCTTTGTCAGATTACATGAAGTCTCCAATCTCTCTCAACATAAAAGGAGAAGATACAAAGACTTTATATAATCTTCATTTTTTAAGTAGACTTTATTATTTAGAGAAGTTGTAAGCTTACAGAAAAAAATATACAGAAAGTACAGAGTTCACCTATATGTCCTTACCCTCCTACACACTGTTTCTCCTATTATTAATATATTTCATTCCTGTGGTTTTAATGCATTTCACTCCTAAATTTGCTAAGTTAATAAATCAATATAGCTTTCTCTTAACTGAAGTCCATAGTTTACATTAGGGTTCATTCTGCATAACATAGTCCTATGGGTTTTTACAAATGCACAACGCCATATGTCCACTATGATAGTGTCATACAGAATAGTACCATTGCCCCCAAAATGCATTGTGCTTGTCCTCTTCATTTCCTTCTCCCATCCCCTTGAACCACAGATAGTCACTGATTTTTTTGCTATCTCTATAGTTTTGCCTGGCGTGGTACTGTGGGTTAATGCACTGGACTGTAAAGTCAGTTGAGATGTAAGGTCAGTGGTGCAAGCTCACCGGCCACTCCTAGGCAGAGTTGCCAAGAATCAGAGACCAATTCAATAGCGCTTAACAACAACAGCATAGTTTTGCCTTTCCAAATCATTATAAAAGTGGAATCATATGATTTTTTTTTTTTTTTCAGATTGGCTTCTTCCACTTAGCAATATGCAACTTCATTTAGAAATATGTTTCATAGCCTGATAGTTCACTTTTTTAAGTCATTCAGTTGTGTGGATTCACCACAGTTTGTTTATCCATTCATCTATTGTAGAACATCTCAATTGCTTCCAATTTGGGGCAATTATAAATAAAATTGCCATAAAAATTCATATGCAGATTGCTATGTATACTTAGGTTTTCTACACACAGTTTTTAAAACATAAGTTCTACATGCTTGCAGTCATTGCAATTTCATCTGTCAGAGTTCTTTTAACCAGAAGTGAAAGGATCTAACTCAAATTAGGTAAAACCAAGGGATAATCAATGTCATCTGGAACTGAAAAACATTTCTTTTCCAATAACTCCAACCAAATGGCCAAAAGCTTGGAGAATTCTCATTGGCCTTACCTGTATCACTTATTTTTCTCTGGACCTCTGAAGCAGGGTCAGTCCCACCAGAACCACATGAACTGAAAAGGAAACAAGGATGCTACCCTAAAAATATGCTAAGTCAACAAAAATTATACATTCCTTGCATAGAACATTCTGTGTTCCATCTTTTTCATTAAACATTATTTCATAATACTTTTTCCAAGTACTTACAAAGGTCATAAATGTCTTTTATTTGAGAATTACTTTGTACTGTGTTCCTAATGGTGGTGGTTATGTGACGTGGAGTCAGTTTGAGCTCACAACCACCCTACACAGGGTTTCTGAGGCTGTAAATCTTTACAGGAGCAGAAAACCTCATCTTTCTCTGGCAGAACCGCTGGTAGTTGCAAACCGCTGACCTTGAGGTTAGCAGCCCAACTCATAACCACTATGCTACCAGCACTCCTTATACTGTGTTCCTAGGACATGGTTTATTTAATTACAAACCTCAGTTAAATGAATTTTTATAATACTTTCTATTTCAGAATAAGTTTGTATTCTTCTTTTAAGAGAAATAACTAAATATGAAGAGATTCATCTGACAGATAGTCAAATCCCCAGTCTATGAATTCAGCCCCCTCATGTACCACATGTAGGTTTCATGTATTCATTCAAAGAACATTTACTGAGGCCAGTCACCAGCATTAATATTTGGGAAAAATTGGTGAACAAAACCAAAAGATCTCCACTCTTGTGTAGCTTACAATCAAATGGGAAAAGGGAGATTTTTTAAAATGAGTAAATTACAGTAAATGTTAAAAGTTTTTAAATGCTTTGGAAACAAGGAAAATTAGGGCAAGTTAGGGAGAATCTGCAAGTCCAGAGACTTGTGGAGGATGGAAGTCTGTGTCATTAAATAGGATTGTGAGAAACGCCTTCACTGATTAGAAGCTAATTGACAAAGACTTAAAGAGTGAGGGAACTTGTCCAGTAGAGTGTCCCAAGCAGAGAAATCTGCCAGAGAAAAGGCCTAGGAAGTCCCTAAGAACATGTCTGGTATGTCCAAGGAATATCAAGAAATCCAGTATAGCTGAACTAGAATGAGTGAGGGGGAAAGTATCCATAGAGTAAGTCAGATGGATAGTATTTCAAGCTGATAGGAACATTGTTGTTGTTGTTAAGTGCCGTCGAGTCGATTCCGACCCATAGCAACCCTGTACAGGGTTTCCAAGGCTGTAAATCTTTACGGGAGCAGAATGCCTCATCTTTCTCCCGTGGAACAGCTGGTAGTTTCTAACTGCTGACCTTGAGGTTCACAGCCTGATTCGTAACCACTACGCTACCAGAGCCAGCTTTTATTTTTAGTGAAATAGTGAAAAGCTACAAGATTTTAATCAGAAGAGAAACATAGCTGATTTAGATTTTAAGCAGATCACTCTAGCTGCTGTGCTGAATATAATGCAAAAGGGTATTTGAGTAGGAGACAAGGAGACCAGTCAGGATCCTACTGTAGAATCCAAGATTGGAGATGATGGGGCCTTGGAACTGAGTGGTTTGTGTGGCAGTAGTGACAGTGTTAAAATAAATCAGTTTCTACTATATTCAGAAGGTTGTTCTTATTAAGTGCCATCTAGTAAATTCTGACACATAGCGACCCTGTAGTGTTTTCAAGGAGCAGATGATGGGTTTCAACCGCCACTCGTGGTAGAAACAGCATATTGCCTAAAAGATTTGATGGAGGCTATGAGAGAATGAAAGGAGCTCTGGAAGCGTAGTGGTTATGAATCGGGCTGCAAACCTCAAGGTCAGCAGTTTGAAACTACCAGCTGTTCCATGGAAGAAAAATGAGGCTTTCTGCTCCCATAAAGATTTACAGCCTTGGAAACCCTGTGCAAGGCCATTATGAGTCAGAACTGACTCCACGGCACATAACAACAACAACATCAGAGAATGATAGACAGCATGATAAAATCTAATTAAGAATAATGTTGAAACATAACTCAGTCATCAAAACAAGAAAGAGAAGAAATAGCACTAAAGATTATTATCTATGATACAGCAGCTTTCACAATTCAAAAGTCTTGGCAATTGTTGTTACTGTTTTTGTTATGTGTCATCAAGTCAGTTCTAACTCATAGTCACCCTGTATTTCTGAGGAGGGCTGGTGGGTTTGAACCACTGGCCTTGCAGTTAACAGTCGCGTCCATAATAAGTTGTAATTTTGTTGTTATACAATATGATTCTAGATTCTGCAGCGCTAGTGAACATACCAAGAAATTTACTATTGAGTGAGCTTAACTGAAAGTTCTACCAACTGAATCATCACCTATTATTTCTTGTAGTGACATTACCAAATGTGACCATTTGCAAAGTCTCAAGATATCCCTAGAGAACACTGTTGTTGTTAAATACAATCAAGTCAGTTCCAACTCATAGCGACCCTGTATAGGGTTTCCAAAGAGTGGTTAGTGAGTTTGAACTGCCAACCTTGTGATTCAAACTGACTTTGCATTATCCTGCAGTGTAACACCAGGTGGTTACCATTAATAAACTTAGTTATTTTCAACAGGAGATGAAACAAAGTAGGTTTTCTGTTAACCCAGGGCCCCTATCTCCTAAATGTTTGGGGTAACATAATTTTTTCTTATGATTAAAATTTTTTTTATTTCTTAGAAATATTTATGTCTTGCTTAGTACAAAAAAAAGTTTTTGAGACCATTAAGTATAATGCAAATACAATGAAATAACTAGAGTAAAGAATGGTTGAAAATTCAGTCACATGAAATACTTGCTAAATGGCTGTCTCAGTCACATTGCTTCGTCTTGCTTAGCCTCAATCTCATACATAAGGAAGAACCCTGGTACCTACCACATATGTGTGAAGTGGAAATGATACAGATAATACACGGAACTAACTTCCTACCATAATTTCTGGTTCAGAAAGTGCAGAACAAATTGAACTAGCTGTAATTATCATAAAGTTCAGCACATTTGCTAGTGATCAATTTCAATTTTAGCTCTGAGTTTCTAGAGACCAAAAAAAGAGGAAGGATCATAATCAGTTACAACATTTAAGATACTTCTGTAATTAATAAAATCCTTATAAAAAGTGATGCAATGAGCAATATCTAAATACAGTCTCACAAGAAATACAAAAAATAAGTTGCACTAAGCATAGCAAAACTTTAATTTCTTGTTGTTGTTGTTGTTAGGTGCCATCGAGTCGGTACCGACTCATAGAAATACTATGTACAACAGAGCAAAACACTGTCTGATCCTGAGCTACCCTCACAATTATTGTCACACTTGAGCCCATTGATGCTGCCGCTTTGCCAATCCATCTCACTGGGGGGTCTTCCTCTTTTTCTCTAACCCTCTACCTTACCAAATATGATATCCCTCTCCAGTGACTGATCCCTCCTGACAATATGTCTGAAATATGAGAGACAAAGTTTGGCCATCTTGGTCTCCAAGGAGCACTCTGGCTGCACTTCTTCCAACGAAGATCTGTTTGTTCTTTTAGCAGCCCGTGGTACTTTCAATATTCTCTTCAAACACCATAACTCAAAAGCATCAATTCTTCTACGATCTTCCTTATTCACTGTCCAGCTTTCGCATGCATATGAGGTTATTGAAAATACCATGGCTTGGGTCAGGTGCACCTTAGTTCTCAAGCTGTTATCTTTACTCTTCAACACTTTAAAAAGGTCTTGTGAAACAGATTTGCCTAATGCAATATGTTGTTTGATTTCTTGACTGCTGCTTCCATGAGTGTTGATGGTTGTTGGTTACTGATGAAGATCAAAGACCTTATAGCCTTCTGAGTGGATTGCATCTCAATGCAAAGAAAACAAAAATCCTCACAACTGGACCAATAAACAACATTCTTATCAATGGAGAAAAGATGAATCTCTTAGTAACATTTATTTTAAATTAAGTTGACTCTTTCTGACACTTATGGAAAGAACTCAAAAACCACTTGCTAAATGAATGAATAAATAAAATAAATATACACATTGCACCACAGTCAACCTTGATATTTTCTGTACATGTATGTATTTGGATTATTTTATATGGTATTTCAGAAATATCTTCCAAAAGGAATTGATCCTTAGTGATATAAAAAGATACTTTATTCATTATCCATTAATTCGTTTCCTTTAAAAAATATTAGGTTAGATGATAAAGGCCAAGTGGTTCGTATTAACTTCAACAATGCTACCAGAGACACAATATTTGATGTACCTGTGGAAAGAGTTCAGCCATTTTATGCTGCTTTGAAGGAGTTTGTTGATCTCATGAACTGCAAAGAATTCAAGTTTACCTTCAAGATGAATCCAGGTCAGTGAATATATTTTCTGAAACTATCAAAGAATAGATTTTTCTGTAACTTAACCATTCAGAGTGATATCTAGAACAGCTTTTCTCAAGTACGATATGTGGAATACTTACAACAAAATGCTGATGAGCAAGAGACTTGCTTAAATATGAAGGAGCTTCAAAAAGTTCATGG